TCTTTGTAAAAATTTCTGCAATAATTGATTTAAGAAATCTAGTCATTGCTATAAAAACTGCATTTCGATTACCTAGTGCAGCATATACAATAGCTGTCCATACCATAGTTCCACGCATGTCATAAGACCACTCTGCTGTAATATTCAACTTGACAACCCCGGATAGAGACCACAGAATGACTACATACGACAGAAAGGAAACGATGGCATTGATGGCACCCATAGTCAACTTAAATGTGCTTTCAATATAATATGTAATGTCCATCGATATCCTCTGATCCGGATTGTCACTGCCCTTTTTTGAGAATGATCTTCCACAGTAAGCGTGATCTGCTAAATATTTATTCACGAAATAAATAGTTAACCAACGTCGCCAGCGAATTTTGAATGATTGCGCCAAATATTGTTTATACGCTTCCACCACGATCAGAGTTAGAATGAGAAAAAAATAGTACACAAGTAGACGAACGAAATTCGTTTGATCGAATGATTGTAATGAATTAAAAAAAGAATTTTTCCAAAACGACAATGACACACCCAGTCCAATGTAAAGTAATTCCATGGCGATTAAAAGCAATAACATGCTTCGACTATAAACACGTTCTTCAGAACATAAGTACAAACGGTAGAAGTGCCAATTTTCAGCAAGAAAATTAGACATAGCACACATTACGAAAGTATTGAAAGTTAATAGAAAATGCATCGACAAGAGTGTTTGATTTTTTTTTTCTTTTCTTCCTTTCTTAACTTACTCATGGGAAAGACAAATAGAAGAGCTGTTTCATTTAATACGGACTCATAAATGAAATCTTTTGCATGGAGACAAGACTACCTATGTTCATGCGTTTGTTCTATGCACCGCGATAAGTACCTGCCTCCGTGAGACAATCAACGCGACTCCTACTCATCAAAGAAACTCACATTCGAATTATTCTCTTTCTTCACTATAGTAAGGCGGTGCCCATGTTTAGCTTCAGCAGAAGCCTTCACTATTTAGTAAGTGAAGTGAGCGACTAATTTGAGTTTTTTTTCAGAATAATTCGTCCAATTAAGTGTGCCAAATATCAGGTGTTGTATGTCAGATAGAGCTCGACGAACTCTGTTGATTCATATATTTAGATTTTAAGAAAAGATTAAAAATAACCATATATAAACAAAAGTATTTTTCATTATAACGAAAAATAAAATAATTGCGTGCTCCCTAAAATTGTTCGATTCCGAATCCATGTCACTTTCGAAATTTACATCCTATGACGCTTCATCTGACGATTTATTTTACGACTTGTGTCACACGCGAAATCCGTTCCTTTCCAGTCAACTTCATGCGTTCTATTGATTATTATACAACTTTTCCACCAATGAGAAAGAACCATCACACTGAAAGGTCTGGAGCACTTTATATGCACGTCACGACGGAATGTCTCCTCCTAACAATTACATCACATGATGCCACATGAGCAAATTCGTATCATTCGACATGCCTTATTTAGTTCTATTGGTTGATCTACAATTTGTTATAAATAGTAAAACTTTACAGATTTAAGAGTATCGAGAAACGAATTAAATATAAGACTAGCATCGCATATTGCGTTTCAAAATTTCTTTTACAATGTATGCCAACGATGAAATATACCTCATTAGATTGGCATCGCTAAGTTCTATTGATTGATGAATAAATTATTTAAAATAGTTGCACTTAAGCACAGCTAGAATCTCTAAAACCGATCAACTGATGCTAATCTGTAATATTTCATTTGTCGATTCACTTTATGACGTGTGCCAATGATGAAAATTACTTCATTCGATTGGAATCAATTAATTCTATCGATTGATGTATAATTTATTGGAAATAGTGACACTTAAGCATAGTAAGAATCTCTAAAACCAATCAGGTGATGCTGACGTATAATATTTCACTTGTCGATTCACTTTACAATGTGTGCCAATGATGAAACATGTCTTATTTAGGAGATTGCGACGACGATTTCGGGTAAATATACGTACGGTGTGAGAGAGGTCACAACAGCACTTGTGAAAAGTAAGTTCAGGAAACTTTTGATTAGATCAAGATGACATATTTTACTTAACCATCCACTGTTGAAATGTGTGTTAATTTTCACACTTAGTATGTTGAGTTGATGTTTACGAATGCTGCTGAAGAGTCTGAGTATCATGACGTTCACTATCTTTTTCTATGTTGAATACAAAAAATAGTTGTGGGACTAGTCGAAAACGTCCGATCTTGTTTGAGAGTGTGGGATGTAGATGTGAGTATGAGAACGAACTAAAACAAAACTCACATCCATATCTACACCCACTCCTGATTTTAATGCGAATCAAAAATCAGCTACTCTGTCGATAGAACCAAGTAAGAAATCTGTATAAACATAATCTAATCGATAAAATCAGCATTTATTTTTATTTTAGAGATAATTGGAAAGAAACTCGTCAATCCCTTTCCCTTATATGACTTTAATAATTTTTATAAATATCCAATTAATAATTTTAGTTGGACACCTTATACTTATCCTTACGGATAGATGTATGGTAATGTTTATGGAATTGGATTTTATTATTCCAATGGAGAAAACTTTTTTTTACTATTAATAAATATATTTGATATTTCGAAAAACATTATGTTCATCGGGAGCATGAGTTTTTATCATGCAAAAATTAATAAATACATATTCCAAAATAAAGAATAAAAAATAAATTGCATCTATCAAAACTATACTAAACTTATCTTTGATCGTTGAAGATCTGTTTCTTTTCAAAAGTTTAGCTGAAAAAATTCTGAAGAAAACATCCATTTTCAACGAAATTTCATAATTTCTTTTTTTCGTCAAGGCAAAGAAATCAAAATTGCAATACGTGAGAACAAACTCAATGAATAAGTTTGAAGAAAAATATTTTCTTATGGAATATTTTCATCATATTGAAATGATTGAGTTTTAGATATCAGTCAAAAAAGAACAGTTGAGATAAGTAGAAATTGATTCACATAAGATCACATATACAAATGTATACCATCTAGATGTGCTAATATTTCTGTTTTGAGAAAAAAAAACATATTGATCCTCGAAATTCGTAATGTGTAATTATTGCATTGTCTTTATAGTACACTTCCTACATGTATATGAATAGATGAGTGCTACACTTTTATGCAAATATTTAAAGTGTGAAGTACACATGGCTAGAATACAAGATGTTCGATTATAAATCAACAGGACTTAACCAATACATTATATTGGCTTATGAATGCATTAGAGTTGGAACCGGTGAAGAAATTTCAGACCGGTCAGGTCCGACCAGTCTGGAAATATCTCTAGACCGGTAAAACCGGCGAGCTCACGAAGCGTTTTCAGATGATAAAATTGATTATAAAGACAAAATTTTGTTCCTAACAAATACAGTTTTTTACTCTTGTCTTTTCAAGAATGTCAATATTAGAATCCCAAGTATCAAAAAGACGACAATAACTTTCAAGTCTGAGTTTGTTGTGCAAGAGATATATTTCGTTTCCCCTCAAATTCGATATTTAATTTTTATTTCTGTTATTATTTTGTTCAAGATTTACATGAGAAAATGTGTTTTTACGTGAAAGTAAACAGTTAAGCTAAATATAATATTAAAACAAATCATTTCACTAGATATGAGACTCGCAAACTATATTAAACATGTATGTACAAGTAACGCTCGTCTGTGTGACTCGCTTGACCCTCGACTGAATATTTGACTGTTTCGGTATTATATACTGCTTTACAGTGCTAAAAAAACTAGTATCCAACGTTTGAATAAGGTTGCGTGTGAATGTGGATATTTATATCCACATCAGGGTCGCTGTGTGCAATGCGATACGTGTCTGTGTGATGCTTTTTGCCATAAATTCATCCAATCAAACTGACACCCACACAGTAATACCCAACGGAAATCTACATAAGCTACACTAAGACAGCAGTATTCACACGTTCCGGGAAAAGAGATTATCTTCAATAAGCTGAGAAGATCAACATA